GTCAAACAGTCGCTGCTTGTTTTTACCACAGTCTGTTTGTTACAAGTCTCGTGAACAATAACATATATGGCAACGTAATTAAACCTAAAAATACACCAGTTTTCATTTTTACCGTTTCAAGTTTTAAGTCATGTATATACAATACTAACTTTAGTTTTGTGTACTACGTTACCTTTCAACGAAATACGAGATCATTAATGAACACAATACATATTCTAAAGCTAATTATTAAAATTACTAACCAACTCGTTACGCCAAAGGTTGTATCTCTAATTATCAAACAGAAATATTGATTTCTGTACAAACAAACAAAAAGCCAACGATCTTCTTTCTCTGCCTGAGAAACTTATACTTGATAAATGTGTGGCACTGTGACGTAATTTTACACACAAAAAAGGCGCTCAAATTTCATTGGTGTACGTACAAAGCTTTGTTATACATACGTATTGACTCAATTGAAATTCGAAACACTGTAAATGAAACATATGAGCTCCCACCTCTGTGCAAGAGTTGAAATTAACCAAGAGAAAAGTTGTATCTAATATTGTTTCTGCAATGTTAGCTTTAAGACAACTTTTAACGTTTACATATTACCTATCTATCACGCATGATAGGAGTCTCGGTTAAATAAATCCAGCTGGATAATACAAACTTTCCACTTGCATTGTTTCCTAAGGCTTAAAGAACAAAACTAGTTGGCTACGATTGATATCCTAGATATATGGCTATGTGCTGGCATATTTGGATCTAGACTCACGCCATAATTTAAACTACAAATAAGTCATTCGGCTGAAAAATAGTGCATTATTAAGAGCAATTATGACACAGAACAACTGATTTGTTTGCAGCTTTCTAAATTAATTCATCTTCAAATTTCCACCACCAATTCCCATTCCAGCCAACGAGGTCTGACATCTTCTTACTGTGCTTGAGTGCACACAATTATAACACGAGTTCATTACATCCAAATTCCCCAACCCCTCTGACTATCAGCTTATTCCCACCGCCCACACCAAAAGCCTCTTTTCTTTTTCCCGCCCATAATTTCAGTCACACCTAATTAATAACCTTCTCTGCACGAGCTTACTGTATTCAAACACCAGACCATACAGAAGTAACGTTAAGCCCCAAGGGTTTCAATGGAACTTGGGGCTTGAATATGAGGAGAGATATAGGTAGACAGAGGCGAGTATGGTGAGGAGTAGGGGAGATAGAATAGCGAGAATTCGCTGAACAAGAACACGAATTTGCGTTTCTACCATCTGCTTTCTGCACGACCGCAGCATAATCCGGTCACTGACGTCAAACGACGCTTTGTAGTGGCGGAACATGACTGATGTCTCCGACTTTCCCCATGACAAAAGGAAAGTTTAAACATGCTGGATCAGGCATGTTTTGAAAGAGTGTGTTGCATGGACCCGCTATACATACAATCAAAGTATTAAAAGAATCTACGATTTGGAATCCTGCACAAGCTAACTCTTAAAAGAAGGTAATCCTGGCGTGGAAATAGCATATTGATTGGAACAAAAAGAAAAAAAGGTTTTACTAAACAAACACGTTTTAAAAAAGGTAAAATCTTGAAATGCTCATCGCGTGCTTTACCATTTTAACATTCAGCGAGTTAGAAAAATATGAAATATTTACAGTACCAGGTGGTACTGAACACGGGATCACTTCTGAGACGAATAAAACAAGTTTTTTTAAAAAAAAAAACGTGAAATTTATTAGACACACATTTATCCAAAAATTCACACCTTCTCAGAGTTGATTGTATAATATATTCACAAGAAAGTGGTTTAATATTTAATGAGCCCGCGAAAACCTTGAGCACTTACGTAAATAGAAGATATTCTCCAGATAAATACTATTGACACTTCATTACTTCGGTGTGTGTGTATATACTTATCAGATACGAGTGTATAACTACTGTTATTATATGTTAAGACAGCCACGTAGGTCATCACTGATAACTGAAATTTCAAGAGATTTGTGTACCGCATAATATATAATCTTATTTACACAGGTGGATAGCAAACCAACTAGCAGAAAATACACAGTTTTATCTTCGGATTCTATTTATCTAGATTTAATATAAATACTCAAGGATACCACGAATTCTGGGCTAAGAATCTGGATCATTAGTACTACCAAATATCGATCGTATTGCAACAATGTATAGAAGTTTGTGAAAGGGCATCTGGAGTATAACCCACCCTTGATTATGAAGATTTAATGAGACGATAGTGAAAAGAAGACGAGAGAGAGGCTGCTTATAGAAGAACACCAAGTTACTGTTACAGGAGTGTCATTTCACGAAAGCCCCCCCCCCCCCAATTCAGCTGGGGAACCTACGCTGTGACGTAATTTGCTTATATGTGTTAATCCGGCCTTATAAGAAATATCTCACTGAAACTATTTACTCCCCCTCCCAAGTTTGGGGGCACCCTTTCTGCCCCTATAAATGACGCCCCTGTACTGTTCATTCCTATGTATTCCCCGAACTTCTTATTCTTAAAATGTATTTGACGAACTCCAAAATACATTTCAAAAAAACTCATTTCTACACTAAATTTTACAGCATGGTAATTCTTTAACCAGTAGTTTTAGCATTAACATGAGAGCAACTTGAAATTTTTGGAATTGATTTATAGAGAAAACTAGTGTAGGCAAGAAGCAGACATGAAAAAGAATAAAATACATCTACAGTACTTAGAAGATACAAGTGTATAGCTACTGTTATATATTAGTTGGTCACCACTGGCTGATAAATGAAGTATTCGTCGAATAGTTTTACGAATGTCTTCCATTAAATTAGTTTTAATAAAGGTATATTGTCGTAATACAGTAAAACAGGGAAATCGGAGTAAATTTGGAAAGCCGTGAATTACTGAAGACGAGATAAATCAATACGTGACTGTTTATTGTGTGCTATAAACCATTCTGTTGTTATTGAAAATTGATTTTAAGTTTCATTTTGTATTTCCATAATTTTTTCCCGTTCAATTATATTTATTAATTCGATGATAGTGCGCCTTGAAAACATCTGAATTTTTAAACTATAACTATACAACAATGGTTCAATCAGTTAAATATTTAAACAGCATATCTTGTATATATATTCCAAACCGTGGTATCTGTCTGAGCGTTCGTCTGTCTCCCGTTTGAAAAGCTGCGCACGCAGGCAAAGCTTAACATTCATTTTTGAAATGACGGGAGAACAGGCATGAATAATGATGATTCTAAATTTTAGTTCGCAAGCTAAATTGTTGGAAATTAATAACATTTCAAAACGTGACGTAACTTTAAGAATAAAAATTTAGATTTACCATATGTTATTGTTGAGCGGCTCTTAGCATGACTGAAATGCTCAACAACTACTTTTCGCAGTGGGCAATACAAGTAGCTTAGAGCTGTAACACAATTAACCTTTGTAAAGTTCATGCAAAATTTAAATTGATAGAGTAACTTAAACTTCCCGTCACTGGGGACGGGTACTTTTGCTTTTAACTTACACGTTACAAGCCATTTCATTCATATAGAACTAAGCAAGGAAGCGTATCGTTTGTACCACTAGAACACACCTTCATTGTAAAGACCTCACAATATTTATTTTCTCTTTTTTATGGGTGAAGGGAGTGATATAGCAAAAGTATAAATGTCTTTTTTATTTTCAAAGTGCCATTTCCCCATTTCTTTGGATCATGTCTGAACGGGATGATGAATGAAATTTGTGTTAGTTAAGAGTTATAGCTATTAAACTTGTTCAAGGCCAGTTCAAGTACTGTTATCAATTAAAACTTGTTAGACAATAGGATCACTCAGTTTTATGGAACTATAAGCTTCAGGTATTGCTATCAATTAAAACTTGTTAGACAATAGCATCACTCAGTTTTATGGAACTACAAGCTTCAGGTATTGTTATCAATTAAAACTCCAGTGAAACAATAGCATCACTGTTTTATAGACCTATGTTTTAATTGATAACAATACCTGAAGCACTCCGGTGAGACAGAAGCATGATTTAGTCTTATAGAACTATGCGCTTCAGTTATTATTATCAACTAAAACTCGGTTGAGACAATAATATCACTCAGTTTTATATTGAACTATGTGAATGTATAGTTCAATTTTGGAAATCCACACACTCAATAAGTAAATAAGCGAAAATGAAATTAGTTGTCATGGGAAAGTCAAACACGTTAATCAATTATTCGTCTTTCATACAACTATGACAGAACACATATTACTTCATCTAATCAAAATCAATCAGACAGGTATGACAAAATAACTCACTTGGATTTACAAGTACCTAAACTACTTGAACACGCTCCAAAACCAATGTTTCCCAGCAAAAAACATTCCTATGATAAGAGATTTCGAACGATGACATCTAGAATAAGGCAACAGTAACATTTATACATGACTGAAAAAAAAAGACCACTTCCAGTTTTCTGTATACATTAGATTACGTATACAGGTCTCGATAAAGAGTCGTTATCTTAGAAAAAGTTCTCTGTAATCGCAACTTCGACCACAGCCATAGTTCCAAATAACTACAAATGACGTAAGAACTTACATCACATCACACATTAATAAGAACCAAACATAGATAGCGCGCACAATTCTTGCTGTAATATTAAAATTTTGACTATTAAAAAAAAAAACTAGTGTTTATTAAAACCAATAAATTTTGTCACTCAACTCGTTCTACGGTACTAGTGCTAATCACATGTAATAAATCAACAAGGCAATCCAAACACCGTCATTACAAGTACGTTCCGACGAGAATAACACTACATCTGTGTCACACATTATCACTCAAATAATATCCTAATAATGCAAAGAAAAACACGCAAGAAACAGTGTAGCTTGTAGATGTCAGGCAAGATTTGAAATTTAGGTTTTTTGTTGTTGTTTTTTTCATTGTTCCCACCCACTCACTCCCTTTCCCCTATATCGATCGTTGTATAAAAGGAGAATACCAAACCACTACGTACTTTCCGAACGTGTCTAGATCGCCAACACCGAGTCTCTCCTTTATTCGTCTTATACCAGCGAAAACACAACTTCTGGAAAAAACAAAACCAACAAAAAAATCTACATCCATTTGCCCGAAAGAAAGACTTGCCTTGGATTTTCCTGTAAAGTTGGGTTAGCGCCGACGTTGCGTAATAACCAAGAATGTGTAGAAGATGAACTATCCGGGTCGCCTTGTCTGTCTTTGCTCTTCAGTGTAAAGGCTTCTAGCCGAATGATTGGCTGCGAGAGCTACTACCAAGCGGTTGCCTGATGACGGTGACGCATAGCTCTCTCGGCTTGTGTTGTTAATACTCTGGTGCTAAGTGTGCATAGGGAGAGACCGAAAGGTTCAAATCGATTTCTATAACTAATGTGAACTGATTAAGAATACGGTGCACATTTTGAACGAATACGTCACCTAAACTCACTTACTATATACTGTATACGAGAACGTACACGACAAGGACGTCATTCCTTCAACTTCTCCCAACCGTTTCAACTGTCCGCAGTTCTTGCACTAACACGGTTTCACGTGCACACGCGTCATGGCACTCAACTACCATGACACACAACACAGCACATTGCTTGAAGGCAGAAAAACACACACTACTCTTGCTTCACCTCCCCAAGGGGAAGGTACCTTAGTGTATTTCACGCGAACTGTAGCGAAGGTGCCTAAAAGTTATATTTGTATACAATTAATTCCACGGAATATTGTCACAAAACAAAAATATATATTTCAAAGATTTTTATTCTAACTAGTCCTACTTAACTGATAGCTAGGCGTCTCTGTAAAACTGGGTGGATTTCCATTTATTTCAAATACTAACATGGCCAGCTTGTTCACAGACAGATAGAAAAACATATAGCCGGTTCCTCCCGCCCTCTATGTCTGTAATACGCAGCGAAGCAGGGCCCCTGCGTTGTTCGTAGAAACCATAATCAAAGCCTAGTTCTAATTTTATTGTGGGAAGCACGTGACTGCCGCCCGTAGGGAGTATTCTAGGACTACGAGCGTGATAAATTCGGAAACCCAGCGTGACAGAGCAGCAGAGGTTGTACTGGTTATGTGCGAGAGAAACAGTGCAGGTATAGTAGAACTAGAAGAGATAGATCTCCGGTTAAGCCTAGCCTTTCTCCCGAGTCCTGTAATGTTGCATGGGAATAAAAAAAGCGCTAAAGCTCGTAAAACTGACAAGTCTTAAATATAGGTGTTTAGCTTAGGGTTGGTAACATCACATACTCAGGAAAGCAACGTGAGACCGCTGTAAACGTAATAAAACAGATGTGACAGCGCCCTCACTTCTTGTAATTGCTCTCCACTCGTATCATAGTTAATTCATAAAGAACGTATTCTACAGAACCAAAGCATTTATTACTTGTACAATATTCAGAGTCTATCAGAAATAGATGTGCTGTTGTCCAGACTACACGACGAATATTGACCTGAAATTGAAAATCAACACTACATTGACGTTATATTAGGTAAAGATGTTAACAAGTTCCTCCTGTTCGAGGACAGGGAATGAGTATCTTGAAGTTCATGACAATATTAGGAGGATAAGTGTTTTCTATGGTGAAAGCCAGGTAAACTACAGTGAACGGTAAAAGTTCGTACACATTCATTTTACATGGTAAATGTTGAACTGTTTTAATTCTGCTTTAGTCTTTCATCGACGTAGTCACCATTGTCCGTACCTAAGAAACACATTCATTTTACATGGTAAATGTAGAACTAACTGTTTTAATTCTGCTTTAGTCTTTCATCGACGTAGTCACCATTGTCCGTACCTAAGAAACACATTCATTTTACATGGTAAATGTAGAACTGTTTTAATTCTGCTTTAGTCTTTCATCGACGTAGTCACCATTGTCCGTACCTAAGAAACACATTCATTTTATATAGTAAACGTAGAACTGTTTTAATTCTGCTCTAGTCTTTCATTGACGTAGTCACCATTGTCCGTACCTAAGAAACACATTCATTTTACATGGTAAATGTAGAACTAACTGTTTTAATTCTGCTCTAGTCTTTCATTGACGTAGTCACCAATGTCTGTACCTAAGAAACACATTCATAATTGTCAAACAATTATATATTCTTGAATATATAGTTAGTAAAATTAAGTCTCACTCTCACAAAAGATATTAATGTTTGCTTTCTGTAGAAATAAGAGCTATGCATGAAGAACAAAACTTGAGATGTTGGCCCAGCTGAAGAGCAAATTGAATTGCAAGAAAAATACAAAGTTGATGAACTAGTATTTACGGCTCCGATCAATCTTAAAAAAGAAAAAAAAACACTATGTTCGGCTGAAAATGGATTATACGAGATGCACTCGCCATGTCTGCTACTTCGAACTCAACATATCTCTGAAAGAAGAGATTATAAACACAAAGCCTCACGATACACGGCGTAAATCCTTTAGCAAAGGTCAGAAGGTCATTGCGAATACGCGAAGCCTAGGGGCGTACTTAACAGAACTGGCAAGACTGCAGAAGAGAATGCACTCGAAATAAATCTGAAAAAGGCGGGAAATCAGATGGAATACTATGATAAATAAATATGCTGGGAAAATAATGATAGCTATATTAAAATATGGATAAATATTTACACAGAACGACAAACCAAGTTTATGACCTTTCATTTATTACTAATAATCAATAATAAAGTGTTCGAAGAGAATTTTAAATATTTTGGTCATTTCCACCTCTTAAAAACCTTTTGTTATATTAACAAAAAGCAACCATGTAACATGTCATAGTTAAACTGTCATGTTTTCATGTTGCTTTGCTATTTCTCGGCAACTTTTTTGATTCCTTCAGAAGGTTTAACATAACGGTTGTAAATATTTTTTAAAAACGTCTGGAGATAATACCAATGTATAAGAAATTAGCGATCAAAGTATTGTTAACTGCATATTCCGAAATCCACGTCTGGAGATAATACCAATCTATACGAAATTAGCGATCGAAGTATTGTTAACTGCATATTCCGAAATCCACGTCTGGAGATAATACCAATCTATAAGAAATTAGCGATCGAAGTATTATTGTTAACTGCATATTCCGAAATATTTTTCGTCCTTTTCCCAACTTGGCTTTTACGTTGATTAACTTAATGTTTTAATAAATAAACATACATACAGATAAACAGATAATGTCACTGACGTTTATTGGTATGCTTATTTGTTTAGTACTTAAGCACAAAGTTGTACAATGAGCTCTCTGTGCTGTGCCCATCACGGGCATCGAAACCCGGTTTTTAGCGTTATTAGCCTTCAGACTTACAGCTGAGCTACTGGGGGGGGGGGGCTTACGGCATGCATTTTACAACGCTGTAGCTACATTTCTTATTGACTGTAGTAAAAATAATAAATGTTGAGATACTGAGTTTGAACAGTGATCAGATATGCGATATAACACATTAAATCTCAAGTGATAATCTTATATAAAACATTTTAAAAAATGTAGAAATGCATTGAGAATATTTTCATAGATGGGTTGTTTGTTTTGGAAAAGTGTTGATATATTTTACATAACCATACGGGCTGTTTTCAACAATAACATGGCGATTTCGTATTTTCTTCGACTTTTGTAAACAAAACAAAAAAAATCACCATGCACTGATTAACCTATGACAACAAACGTGTGGTCGGAAATTAATAGTATAGAATAATAATAAAACAAAGCTACATACATTCTAGGAAGCTGTCAAGTTTCATCTGAAGTTTGTTAAGAGATTTTCACTGGAAACAATTTCATCAAGTTTTTCTAACCCTTTCTTACCACTTTCTCAACAACCCTTTCACATAAAATGTTTTCAACTCTTCTATACAATATGGCTAGCTTTTCCAGATTCTTTTAACTACTAATCTCTTTAAAACTCAAAGTGTATAATTTAATGAACTTATTTTCAGAAAAACAACTTATAGCTCCGATTTTGCTTGGTATCAGTCAAACAAACGATTAATTTGATAGCAGAAATATGTTGAATAAGGAACGGACCTAGTTGGGCTTCTGAAATGCATTAATATTAAGCAGCACAACAACGGATCCAGCTAGACTGCTAAAATACGATAATATGAAACACTACAAGTATTGACCTAGCTAGGTTTCCGAAGTACAACAGTGTTAGACACTGCAACCTGAAGTTTATTGTTAATACTGACTTCGTAGTCTGGTATATTGAACCAATATTTTTTTTTCAGTGTGTTTATTATAAAGATATTAGTTCTTCAGTTAAAATCTAGAATCTATGACCTATACTGTTAAGGTGGCTTTTGTCTCTGTAACCTGATGTGATCTATACAGTTATGATCGTTTTTGCTCGTGTAAGTTGATGTGACCTATAAAGTTAAGACGGGTTTTGCCCGTGTAATCTGATGTATCTTATATAAGATGAAGCAAAATATGTATAAACAAAAACGTAACACCTTGTGCCTACTACTACTTCAAGAGTTGTAACGCAAAACTCTCCGATCTCCAAAAAAATGTTACGTTTCAAACATCGTAATTAATGCGCTTATGCCACAAACATGGACATTCGAAGGGAAAATATCTCGTCGTTTGAAACGTCTACGTGAGAACCACACTAAACCGAACCTTAAGTTGTTCAAAAACTTCAAATCTCGTTACAAAAACGTAAGACGACCATCCTATAAAGTAACATTTCACTTTTTTTATCTAAAATTCGGAGATTGCAGTAGTAAAAATAATCTCAAGTGGGCTAATTAGCATTCTTAATGACTATAATAATAAAATACGAAAAGAAAAGGTTCATGTACAACAGAATCTTTTTAGCAAAGCAGTCACCGAAACAGCGATATTGAGCGTGGCTGATGTGACGTCACACTTAAGTGCGCGTGACTGCTCGCTCCCATAGATACTGTAAGACCCCTCGACTCAGGTTCGCTGATGTTTTTGATAGCTTTATAGATTTCCATCACAGACTGCTACACTCAACATTAACAAGCCAGCATAGTAACAACAGCCCTCAGGGGACTTATTCTATATATATATTTCTATGCTAGATAATAAAAAAACAACAATAATAATACTCAAGGACACGAACACGAACACTGCAGTTCAGCTGGATAACAAGAGTAGATGTTTAATTTTCGAAGTATTAATATCTTGGTGAATAATATATATGTATATATATTTAATGGTATGAACTGTTACATAGTTTCTTTGCTGACTTTTCAGACAGAAGAACGTTAACGATGGGTTAAGGCTCTCCCCAGAAGTAATTTTTTTTCGGTTAGAAACATTTGTTATATAATATGTAAACCGATTACCTACTTTTAAAGCTGACATTATAATACATTTCCAAGTTAAATTTGATTTTTGTGTAACTGCATGCATACATATCTATGAGCTCGATGAGCCCTGGTATTGACCGAAAGCCCTCTTCGGCACTGGATATAACAGATATACAGTAGTGTGGTTGACATATTATTATTTATTACTGTTTACGTTTACTCGTACGTTCTTAGAATTACTAATGTAGTTGACACCGTTTGCTAGAATCCGCTAGTTCTTCTGAACGACGAGTAAAGTTAATTCAAGTAAAAATGATAATTAGAAATAATGTCTGCACATCGAAGTGTGTTAAAGTGTGACGAAAAGCTGTAAGAAATGACCTTTTACAGGTAGGTAAAATGTTACTACACGACATTTTGTCCTACAGGTTTGTTACGATACAATCAGATGCCAATTTCAAGACTGTTCAGTATTAAAACATACTATTCAAACTGACTAGAGATTCCGGATTGATCAACCAAACTAGAGATTCCGAATTGATCAAACTAACGTAATTAACATTAAACGGCTAGCTCAGTGAAAAACTACATTCGTTTCAACTTATTCCATCATCTTTCTGAATATTCTCGGGAAAGTTATTTTCATTTAAGAATCCAGCCCTCAGATTTAGGAATAAGTTAGGGTTAAATAGATAAAGCTAGCATTTCCTGATAGAACTAAAACAATTTCGGGTTTTCGGAACATCTTCTCATTGCAGATAACCCTAATCACGTTTTCAACAAAAGATAACATCAAGATAGCTAATTGTACACCCCTGCTT